AGAGAGAGAGAGAGAGAGAGAGAGAGAGAGAGAGAGAGAGAGAGAGATATGGTGTGTGTGCTGTTGGCAGCATCCATTTTTCATTTTCAAGTTTGTCAGTTTGATACGACAGTGCTTATGAAGCCATGCCACGTCTCAACCATGACAAGTAAACCAATAGCCATCGATATATTGATACCCATTTTTCTTGTTCCGATAATTTCATTCTTTCACAAAAGATGGAAAAAGGCAATGATGAAAAAAAAAGAGTCAAGACCTTACTAACGATTGCACTTCAAAAATTAGTACTTATAATGCATGATGTCATCGTGTCTTTATATCATTGAATGCTTTTAAAATATGAAGGGCGAACACTGAACACAAGAATAACCAATTCAATGGACAAATCAACAAAACACTTTATTTATGAATGATTCAAAGGACAGACTTCCTCACATAAAAAAACGTGCTTTCCAAAGAATATTGACATGGAATTGCATTGAAAATCAGTGATTTTTTTGATATTGTAACTAAGACCCATTTATTTTCTCGATAAAATTGCACCTTTTACATTTCAAGTATTTGCTACTTTCAAGCATTTTTTCTCGCATTTTTTTTATAATACGATTAGTTTAAGTGATTGAAATTTATTGCGAATGGAATTTGAATGGATATTAAACTGCTGTTGAATGTTTAAACGAAATTTCACTCAATTTGATACAACACTCCGAGAATCATTTCAGTGCATTTGGTTTTGTTATAAAATTAAAAAAAAAAAAACTAAAATAAATCGAGTAATATGAAAATGTCAGCTCTTTCCCACTTCTCATTTGCTGTGATAGACACTTTGGATCAATGGCTGAAATGCACATAATGCTATTTGCAAACAATATAAATGTAGATATTAATTTGGTCGTGACAATTATCAATGGATTGTGTACATTTTATTGATGAATTTTAAAATTTATTTGTCGTTTTCAAATGAATTGCAATTGAATTCAGTTAATAATGAAATTCCATAAATTGGTTGGAAATGTGCATTTTATTTAAACAGGAAACCCCAGCCAAAAAAAAATCAATAATTGAGCATACTCTGTATTATTCCGGGAAATTCAATTAAGCCTGTGCTGTATATAAGTGGTAGGTGAATTGAACTCAATTTATCTGCCAGAAAGAGAGAATCAAAAACACTCAGAGGCGAATGTAGTGCAGGGAATAAAGCGACAGCAGTTGAATCGAAAAGGAAAGATGGATCTGAGGAATTGTGTACGATAAAATTCGTTTAGTTGATTGTAAACCCTTCTGCTTAAGAAGGCAACACAACGCGAACCGTGCGAAAATATAGATTAGAAATTGCATGGCCATTCTGCTGAAAAAAGGATACGAAAAGAGAGCGAAAAAATATTGGATTTAATAAATCTTCAAACGACCCCTATTTTGTGAGGCAAAAAGAAAACGACTTGCTCGTCATTGTTGGTTCGGCTGCTATCGAGCCAGAATATATCCTGCTTAATGTGAATGACTCCATTTCCGTTAACGCACGTACAACAACACGAAAAGCATGAATTGGCCACACCGAATTTTCGGCATGTGCTAAGAGGAAAATATGTTGTAACCGTTTATTATGCAATATTTCTTATGGTCGAAACGTTGAGCGCACAGAACTAGATGCCACATAGTTTTTTTTTTCGTTTCTTCGTCTAAATTCGATTTAGAGGTAACACATTGCTGGTTTACAGCAGTAACCCGATTTTCTTTTCTTCACGAAACAGATAAGCGCATTTAAGACAAGTATGTTGAAGCATTTATCGATGTTAACCGTTGGATGTTGTCTATGGCCGAGATAGTAACATAGATAGTGGCAAATAAAGAATTGAGAGAGAGAAAGTTCAATGCTCATGTTATGCAGGTCGGAAGTAACTTAAGGGCAACCTGACTCGAATATCGTCGACAACGACATAATGGATGAGAGTCACCGGGAACAATGATAACAAATCAACAACGACGAAAAAACGACGATGAATGCAATTATTATATCACCGAAGAGTGGAGAAAATGGACGAATACGAAAAAGCACTTATTCATTTTGACGTGGTTCATATTAATGTTATTTTTCATGTCAATCTCCATTGCGTTGAGATTGTGCTCGAAAACATTTATTTCAGTTTCAATCTATTTACCTTTCGTCGATGTCTTTTTGTCCACTCAACTACATAATAAATTCGACACAGTCACAACGTAAACGACGCTTGGTGAATTGTATGTTATGTTTTTCTTTAAAGAAACATCATTCTGCTATGTCATCCACTTATAAAGATGTATACGTCATCGGGAATTCGGAGCATGCATTTAACCTGTACACATGAAAGAAAATAGAGAGAGAAGAAAGGAAAACGCTACTGTTATATATTTTACCAGTGTTGAATAAACAATATGCTTTGATGGGTACTAAACAAACACACATTTTTTTATACAAATCAATTTGAAAATTTCCAATACACCATCGACATTTTAAAAATAAAAAAAAAGAAATCCTACTCAAACATTCTTCGATGCCATTTTTCTCGATGGCGAAAAAGGGCTGCATTATTATTTAACACAGCGTCCAAATATATTCGGACAAACAATTTAAATATTGATCTCATGAAGTAGGTGCACATCTTTGATCCTATATATCTCTTTTGATAGAAATCGAGCGAATTCAACATAATTTATTGAAAGAGTCATAAAGTATTGAACCGAATCAACTTTGGACGAAGTTACAAGTGATGAATTGAATTCACTTGATGCGGTTCACTAGAACAAAGACGAAGTGCAAATGGAATGTAAATTATGACTTGAAGCGCCGTACATCCAAAACTGGAAGAAAGAAAAATTCAAGTGCTACTGGTGAAAACAAACACATATGTTACATTTGGAAGTCTCGTTGCCTTTTTTCTACTCTTTCTTTCAATGCATTCTCGCCTTTAATCGTACATAGTTTAGTTGTTTTAAGACATAAATTAGCGGTTGTTGGTCTGTAAATAAACGGTAATCCCAAGAATTCGATGATAGCACATGTTGAATTTGTTGAAATGATGTTCAGTTCCAGTAAATTCGACACCAAAATAGTTAAAATTGAATGAATGATGTTGAATTGATATTTTTAAGTTCAAATGTGTGCTTAAGATAATTTCAATGAAGATAAACAGACAGACTCACATATGCTATGTAATAATATTTTCGAGCTGCTACAAATTACATAAAGCTGAGTTGTTGCTTTTTTTTTTTTTAAATAATCATGAAATTTAAAAGCGAAATGAAGAGAATTGAAATTTGATGTAAACCATAGTTCACTCAACGGACGATAAGAGCTGCTAGTGTATGCATAGTACACACTTTCTCTACACATCTCTCTATTTCTCCCTTTCTCCTCTTCTTCCTCTCCCTCTCTCTCTCTCTCTTTCTGTTTAATTAATACTCATAAATAGTGAGTTATGGGTCAATAGCCAGGGCTGAGCATGTGTGTGATACGATTATAAATTATGAATGAAGAACAACGAGAAATGAGCAATTAACACCAGAGCCATTCTGTCATTTTATGCCGCATGAATATTTTCGTATAATTTTTTATTATTCAAAACACATGTGAGACCAAAGCCAAAAGTCATACACATTCGGATATTCGGATACTTTTCGGCCGTCTGGCATAGGCTTTTGGTAGATGATACTACTGCTGATTCAGATGTGCCGAAATGCACGATAGCATTTGTGTCGGAGAGTCGAATGTTTGTGTGTGCTGTGCGTGTATGTTTTAATGCATCTTTAATGAATTTGAATGCTTTTTCCCCAATGAAATACGTGTCATTTGCAGTTTAGTGAAAGGAATAAAAACTATTTGCTCGAACATGAATCAGACGCGAACATATGCAAAAATAAACCACACACACACACAAAATATACTGTTAATTTATTAATGTCGACAAAAAGCGTGTTGTGTTGAGCGCACAAGAGCCCACCAATTTCGATGTGGAAGATTTCCCAGCGACAGCAAAAATGTGATATTCAAATTAAATTGCATCATTAAAATTTCACACGAAACACAACGAGCATTGAAATTTCAATGCATTTTTCGATCTTTCTCTCTCTTCCTCTCTCTCACCCCTTCTTTTGTTTGGCCGATGTATTCTACAGTCATTTTCTATTTTATGCGATATTCTATATATAGATTGTGGGACTAATTTTTTTTTTGGGAAAAAACAAAGTGCACATAAGACAAACGAGCATCTCTTACAAAGAACCGAGCGAATAATATATAGAATGAAAATTGCAGCATTGCAAAAATGAGAAAAACTACCTCTGTATTCTATATGTACACGCGCATATATATTCATTTTAATCTATGTGCATAAGATAAAGTGCATAGCAAGAGGAAGAGCATCGCACGTTAAAAAACAGAAATAATAAACAATTTTATGCTGCTAATTGCTTTCTTTCAAATCGTTTACACCATAATCGTGCGCATGTAAAATATTCAGCGTTAACTTTTCATTTTTATGCACGACAGATAAAGATATAATGAAGGCACACGCATTACAATTCATTTATTTTTTTCATTTATTGTATGTTGGCCGATACTTTATGCTTTATGAATATCGCGCAGTTTTCGAGTACAATCGCATATTCAGTGAATACTCACAGAAAAATTGCATGGGGAATACCCTGCGCCGAGCATATGTTGTGCAATGAAGAAAGGCATGGTGAGAAAAAAATTTATACAGAACAATAATCGCACAACAAGCCACTCCAAGTCCTTTCTATTTGGGATTTGAGTGAATATAAAAAAACAACGACAAAAAATGCAGTAATTCTCTGAGAATACTCAATGGTAATGAACTTTAAAAGTATGATTAATAATGGAACCGGCTATATTTTCATGGCAGACACTCTAAAGAAACACTGCCTGAAGTTGCATTGCACATAGATAAAAATAGAAGCTAAGTTTGTGCACAATGAAGTACACATAAATTATAGAATGAAATAGAATTATATTCAGCACTGGGTGCCAAAGAACAGTAGTTTGTGGAAAATCAACAGTTTTCACGCGTGCACGGATATTTGTCATAGGATTTTTCCAATTAGAAATTGCGAGCAGTACATCATTAATGGCATCGCTACGACAATATCACACATAATTTGTGGGATTTTTTTTTCTAACGGAAAAACAAGTCAGTCTTTTCAATTTGGATTTGAGTAGTTGATGCATTTTTTTCTTTCTTTTGAATTTTCAACGGTGTCTAATGAATTTCCGCGTAGTTTAACACTTTATCAAATTTCATCTTCCGTGCACTTGCGATATATTTTCTACACTAACATTTTCTATCCTTTCATTCATTTTCAACGATAAAATAGAAAAAATGGCTTTTAATTGGTCTTTCCCCAATGAATTCAAAATTATCATATCTAATGTGCAACAGTTTGAAAGAAAACTAATGCGCATTGTTACATGTTTTGTCTGTCTATTTACAACTCTATTAATATTCCTTGTTATAAAAAACTTAATATCCATAGTGAAAAGCATATGTTTGTGGTAACCGACTATGTTACTTTAATTGGCGCCATTTCATGTGTATTTGCATTTTAATACACTTGCCAGCGGCAAAAAACTATACGAAGTTTTTTTTCTCGGTTTATCTGCAATGCAATGATAATTTCGTTGAGTCCACTTTTGGAGCGTGTGACTATAACACTTAAATAAATGAATGTATAGTTTTTGTGTTTCTGAATTCAAATAGTTTTGTTATTTTGTTACATCTCGTTTGGTGAGTTTACGGTAGCAAAACAGAGATAGAGGGAAGTTCAAAAATGAACAAAACATCGAATTGCGTTCCAAACAAGTCGCATGATATAAAATTTATTCAATGTTGTTTATGATTTTATATATCTCTTTTGTCACACAAATATTAACAAAATGTTGTTTTCATTTCAGATTGGGGATTTGAATAAACCGCATTAATCCTCTTTTGTTAAGCAAAAGCTAAACGTGAGTATATCTGTTTTTCTACTGTTTCGGAATGGTGTATAGTATATTTATAGAGCGGAATATATAAATGTGGCCTGTGTATGATGAATTTGATGAATGTCATAGTATCGTATCGGTACAGAAATGATATTGCCTAAAGCGAGTAGACAAAGCTCGTTAGTCTGGCCGATAAAAAAAAGGATGTCATAAAATCAAACAATCATTTTTTTTTTTCGAGTAGTTGAAATGCAGATGGCATTTTTGAATGTCATAACCACAGACAGACGTGTTAATTTCTTGTAAATAGCCTGAATCGAAAACAAAAACATAATGCAGTGGATATATTCAAACCAATTTCTGACAGGCGCGACTATTCCCATTGGAAATATTGAAAGTATATGTCACGAACTTGTCATACGAAAAAAATGGTTTTCTACAGTGGAAAAATTACAATAAAAAACACGAGATTGTATAACTACAACTAGCATATATGCAAATACTTCAATGGCAGCTAATAAAATGCGAACGCAATGCAAGTGCCGCTATTTGTTCAATGGTCGAATCAAAAATATCATGTTTCATTGGCGACATAGCACGTACGATACCAAATGAAATTAGAAACTATGCACAAAGCAAACAATGTAAAAATAATTCGAAATTCAAACAAGTGTGGCGGCAACTCACAATGCGAATAAACCGCTTGTTTTTCCATTCATTAGTACCGATCTAACACAATTCCACATACATAGGCACTCAATGTGTATCTATGTATTTCTCTCTCTCTCTCTCTCTCTCTCTCTCTCTCTCTCTCTCTATGTATTGATAATAATTTTTAAAGGGGGATTTGAATCGGGATTAGCATGTAATAATTGAAATAAAATGTTTGAATTCCATTTTCGAAATGTAAATTAAATGTGAGAGCCGAAATTTTATGTAGTTTATTTTAGTCATCAATGAAAGCGATGATGAGAAAATTAGACAGATGGGAGCAGAGAGAGAGGGGGGGGTATTTGGCCAAGCAAAATGGCATTTTCCATCGAATTAATTATCGAGATGGCCTTTCAATGGAGCAACAACAAAAATTCACATTTTTAACTTGAATTGATATTGCCTGTATACAATTCCAATTTGAATTTCAAAATTCTCATTCTCATAAACTAAGTCCAATTTAATACAAACCACATGCCATGTTCATGGGGAACATTCATGTCAAACCGCAAATATTATCATTTTATTTCCATATGGAAATCAATACAAAATGAATATGTATACACCACCACCCCTACCTCCTATTACTATTCACAAAATAAAATATTGGTTTACCATTCAAAATTTGCTGGTTTTTCTAATATA